CAGTGGGGGCCTGGCACTGGGAGACCTGGGCTCCAAGTCTGGCTTCATCATTTATTAACTGTCCACTGTAGGCAACATTCACCACTAACCAAACCAAGACTCAAAATGCTAAGGTCCATAAGCAAGGAACAAGCAAAGAAAAAGGAGAGCTCCGAGGAGGAGGGAGCCTCTTAGGAGGGGAGAGGGTAGCACAAGGAACACCCCTGAGCAATGCATTTTGACCACTCCTTCATCACAGCCCTCAGCTCAGCGCACTAGACCCATGTCACATGTCTGCCTTCCCCACTGGAAGGTGAGCTCCGTGGGCAGAGGCCCCATGTCAAACAATGATTAATCTATCCTGGTTGGCTCAAAGGAATGCCTGAGGGTGTGTTCTCAAGGTGGCACAACATACTGCAGACCTAGAGGCAGCAGGAAGGGTGGGTAGAGCTGGAGAAGTGAGGTGGGGCTGGGCTGGGCGCTGTGAAGGCCGGGCCAAGAAGCTGAAGGTTTACTCAGCAAGCAACAGGGAGCTGCCGAAGGTTCTAAGGGGAACAGCGAATTGACCAAAAGACAGTGTTTTAGATTATTCTGATAGCAATTTAGAAAACAGATTGGAGGCGAGGCCGTCAACTGAAGGCTGCTGCACTGGTTTAGATGAGTGAAAGCTGGTGCAGGCCGAGTGCAGGCAGGGTGAGTGAAGCTGGGAAGGGAAGCCCACTGAGACTTGGTCCCTTCTCCACACTCCCCCAGTGCCTGGCTTCACCTTTCTATAGCATGAACCTGGAGTCCTCAGGCTACACACTCCCTGAGGGTAATGAGCTTTCTTCTTCATCCCTCTGCCCCTGACAGAAACCCTACAGAGCCGGGCAGGAAAAGTTAGCTGGTTTCCCCTCCGTCACTCTGTCCTTTCAATCCCAGTAGTCAGACATGTTGGTGCATTGGTGCGTTTGCTTATTACAGCCCTGGGCCTGGCACACAGAAGGAGTAAGGGGCACTTGACCACAAAAGGAATTTAGCACACCCAAATAATAACAACATAGCATAGGTGCACAGACTTTTAAAATTCTGAGTCTAGGCCTGGCCAGTTGCTCATTGGTTAGAGCACTGGCCCTCAGACTGAAGGATCCCATGTTCAATTCCAGTCAAGGGCACGTGTCTTGGTTGAAGGCTTGATCCCTGGCTCCCAGGGTCACATGCAGGAGGCAACCAATAGATGTGTCTCCCTCACATCAATGTTTCTCTCTGGTGTCTCTCCCCATCCCTTCCACTCTCTCTAAGAATCAATGGAAAAAAATATCCCATGGGTGAGGATTAACAACAACAAAAAACACCCACATACTAAGATTCTGAGTCTAGAGAAACCAGTTTTGGCCCTGTAAAGAATACAAAATTCAATACCATGAGCCCCTAGTAGCAGGCTGGACTGCAGCTAGATAACAGTAAGCTCTCCAAATGGGTATCTCTCACTTTCACAACCTGTTTGGCAGATAAATAAGAGTGAGTCAGGAGAGACCACAGTCCAAAGGTAAGCCAAGTCTTGAGTTACACTGACTCTCCATGGAGAAGGCAAGCTCCTTTGAGATTTCCTCGGGAAAATGACAACTGAAGGGGGGAGGGCCAGGCATGTGGGCCCTGTAGGACTGAGACTGGTAGGAGAAGAAGAAGATCAGAATGGACTTGAAAACCAAACTAAAACTGTCCTCTGGCTTGAAACTTGTCTTGAACTGTCTGCTTCAAGAACAGTTCTTCCACTCCTTTCACGCTTTTCCAGCTGCTGTGTGGCAGACAGGGACATCAACTACTTTACAAGGGAGACTGCTCAGTGGGGGCCTGGCACTGGGAGACCTGGGCTCCAATCTGGCTTTGTCATTAACTGTACACTGTAGGCAAGTCTCTGAGTCTCAGTGTCCTCATCTATAAAATGGAAATAATAATGGTGATCTCTATCAGCAGAGTCACAGGGAGAATTCCCAGATAATGAGCAGGCACATGGCAAGACTGTCAAAAGGGTGGATTTGTTTTTTCCCCTTGAACTGAACTCACAGTTTGGCAAGAAAAGGGCTAGGCCCTAGGGTCTGACACACACTAAAACCACAGCGTAGAAGACCATGAGCGGGGAAAACACAGAGCATTGGCTTTGACATTTCCTGAAGAAGAGGTACACTTGCAGGTGGCTCTGGGTTGGCCTAGGCCTGTGGTCGGCAAACTGCGGCTCGTGAGCCACATGCGGCTCTTTGGCCCCTTGAGTATGGCTCTTCCACAAAATACCACGTGCGGGCGCACGTACAGTGCGATTGAAACTTCGTGGCCCATGCGCAAAAGTCAGTTTTCAGCCTGGGCGAGTCTATTTTGAAGAAGTACAGTTGATATTTGGCTCTGTTGACTAATGAGTTTGCCGACCACTGGCTAGGCCAATATTCAGTAAAGAAACACACTTGTCACCAAAAGCCATACAGTGGCCCCCAAACTGCCTCTGAAACCACGCTGCGGTGCCAGACAGGGTTCAATCACTCATGGCTAATTCACAAACATAAGGCGGTTCTGCTTCCCCCCTCGAGGGCTCACCTCGTCACATTCGGTGCCACAACAGGGTGGTACTTACATCTGGGAGATGCAGAAGGCGAGCTCTTTAAGATGATGTCATTGCAAGCAGCTCTCAGAGCCACCACATTCAAGTCAATGTGGGGTTTCAAGACACACAGGAGAGTTTTTCCTGCATAAATGAATTCCCAAACCCACCCTGGCCCTTCCCCTCAGGTCTGCAGCCAGGGCAGTGGGCTCCAATTTAAAAATTAGCCAGCTGATTGGGATTCAAAATGTGGTCTACCAACCTCAAGTTGTTGGTTTCTTTCTTTTTTCTTTCTCCTCCCAAGGAAAAAAATACAAAACAAAACAAACAAACAAAAAAAAACACGAAGAGCAGTCAGGAAAGTGCTTTGCAACTCACTTTGCTCAAACTGGCGCCCTGCTTCTCCTCTGGATCTACTCTGCCAATTTCCAGGTGTTGCCTAGATATTTTTTAATAACCCCAGAGGTTTACCAGCGTTCCAAGTTGGAGGATGAATTGTCTATGGATTCACGATTTATGGTCCTCAGACCAATAACTACATGTGTCTTACTTATGCAGACTCCCATTGATTTTTAAAATCAGTCAGTGGCCTAAGCCGCCTCTGAGTGGTGCCTGAAGAGCCAAGCGCAGGGTTAGTGTTTGCTGAATGAATAAATGGATGAATGAACACTCTCACCGAGGAAAACAGCTCTTACTAACACGCATACATACCCCCGACTCTGACCCACATCACTTTCCCTGTCCCCAGGCCCTTCCTACTGCAGCCACCGAGAAGCAAGCTTTCTAAAGGGAAGCTAAGGTTACAACCTAGTTACAACTTCCTCAGGTCTATACTCTTGGGGAATTAGCTCCTAATCCCTTCCCTCAGGTAATTAAAAGCAAGCAAACAGACAAAATAAAACTTAATCAGCCACAAAGGTTTCCCTTTTCTACACACTTCCTCTCATTCTGCTTTTCTGGCCTCAGGTATCCCCAGGTGTTGTGAGTGGATCTACACCCCTGTGCCCCAGATTTGTGGGGAGATGGTGAGGATACAGTCTGTCAAAAGGGCCCTGACCAATTAGTTTCCAGTTTTGCTCCCCTCCTCAACACCTGCAAACCTCCTTCCCAGAGGCAACAGGAGCTGGTGGGAAGGAACAACTCAGGAGCCAGAGCTAGAATCTGCTGCTAATTGGCCTTGGGACCCTGGGCAAGTCACTTCTCTGTTTGGGGCCACAGTTTCCTTATCTGTCAAATTTAAATATGATGTACGCTGGACTCATCTGTTAGGCTAAATGTGAGAAGGCAAAGGAAGTTGGAATATATAGGAAAGGTCTCAAACCTACAAAATACTAGCAATATCTTCATTCAGTTCCTAACTTCTGGTTTTCCCTTCTAAGTGGAGGGTGGCTTACGTTCTCTGCCCACTCAAAGGTACACACTCCTTACCAGCAACAGTTAAAAGGCTGAACCCCAAAACAGAAGTGATACTTCCCTTTTCCTCTCCCGTCTATGCCCAGGCCTCTAACAACTAGCTGGGGAAGAGCCTCCTCTGCTGCCTTCTCTTCACAAAGGGAAAGGTGCTTAGCATGGCAGAACGAACTTGGGGTAGGAGGCTGAAGTGGCGGTTTCTTGTGCGATCACTACTGAATCTCAGTATCCTCATCTGTCGCATGGGAATGAAGCCACCTGCCTTGTCTATTGTGCAGGACCCTGGGGAAGCAGGAATGGGAGGCCCACGTCTTATCCTGACCTAGAATTGCTTTCCTGGCCCTGGGCTCTCATCAGGGAGAGTCAAAAGGCGTGTGGAGGCTGAGGGATGCTGAGGGCTACTACCTTCTTACCGCCACCACCTGTCCAGGGAGAGGCCCAGGAGAGTGGTGCCCAGTGACCAAGGCCTCCTCATCCCGTCCAATGATGGCCCGGACTGGACAAAGGTGACATACCTTCCCTCTGTGAAGAGGGACTCCCACCTGGAAGAGTCAGACAGTATCCACCTTGCTTCCTCATTCCTAGGAGGTAGCAAGGGCCTTAAGGGGAGGGAGGCAGAGAGCTAGAAAACTTAAGGAGACCGAGCAGCAGAGAGAAGGAACTGGGTGAGAGGTAAAGAGAAGGGGAGAGACAGAGAAATGAACGCACAGACCCGCAGGGAGAGAAAGGGAAAGTGAAGAGCCGGCAGAATAGAAACAGAAAGGAGGACAGACCCAGAGAGATGAAGACAGACTGACAGCGCGGGAGTGTCGGGAGGCGGGGAAGACAAAGGGGACCATCCGGTATTTTTAACTGGTCTGGCCTTTTAGAGACACCCTGTCCCCCAAAGAAAAGCCTCAGGGTCAGGAGGAGGAGGCTTGAGCGAGCAGCGGCTCACCCCGACCTCCTGTCTCCGTCCCGGCGCCCGGCCCCTTCCCCGTCCGGCTCCCCGTCCCGGCCCCCGCCCCGGTCCCACCGTCCCCCCTGCCCGTTCGCTCACCTGCCAGCGCCAGGATCTGGGCCTTGTGCAGCAGCAGCGCACCCCAGTCGCGAGGGGCGCGCGGGGGGCTCTCAGGCCCGGCGCCCAGCTCCTCCGGGCCCCGGTACACGGCGTACACCTTCTGGTTGTCAAAATCCAGACGAGAGCGGGGGCTGAAGTCGCGCACGCACGACACGGGCAGCGCGTAGCAGACGTTGTCCTCCAGGAACCGCACAAAGGCGTACATGGTGGGCGCGGGGGCGGGCCCGGCCGCACGGAGGTGGGGACCCGGCGGGGCGCGAGCCGCGCAGCCGGGCCGGGGGCGGGGGCGGCTCCCCGGGCCGGGGGTCCCCCCACTGTTATTGTTCCTGAAAGCTCCGCTCTGCCAATCAAGCTGCTCTGGCCTGGGCGCGGAAAAGAGAGGGAGGGAAAGGGG